TGAACTCGAGAAGCTCTTCTCGCTTTTCAAACTCGGGGGAGATCCAATGACCCATGATACCCATTATCGCGATCTGATTCTCCGAGGTCCAAACGTCAAGAGATAATGCGAGTGTTCGACTGCTTATAGCAAGCTTTTCTTTCACGCAAGCCCTATCTGAGTGGAATTCGTCCTTGATTCGATTGAAGAGAGTGTCAGGGGTCCTGATAGGCAACTTAACCCCCGTTGCTTCAATAAGTGCCCTGAACGCCGGATGCTCCACTACCGTGAAAGGCTGCCTTGTTTGAATAACCCATTGGACTAGCGTCTTTTCAACATCAGCCTTCTTCCCCGGCGACTCTAAGAATGGGTCGAGGTTCCCTTCGACCGTGGGCAACAATATGGGGTGGTTCCCGGATTTGACACGATGCTTAGTCTGGAGATGCACCAACAAATTCGAAGTGGAACCATAGCGCGCCGAATCCCTGGAGGACCAGCTACAATGCTTGCAAACCAGCAATCGGTCTTTCTTCAAGGGGCCGCCCTGTCGACACCAAGTGTTGTCCAGCTCTGTGGTCCAAAAGTGCTCAGTGGTCCAACTAGAATAGGACTTGGTTTTTCGTCTCTTATACGGATGCAAGCTACTCGTATTGCTCGTGCTCTCTGAAAACGCGGGATCAAGCGGGGAGGGGAAGAACTGCGCATACAGTAGGACCGCTTAGATTGGGGTGTTTGCTCAGGGCCCCTAGACGGAGAGGGTTCTGAAGAGTAGGGGCGTCCTATTTCACAAATGGATTCCTCGGATTGCTCAGAAGGTGATGAAACCAGGCCATTGTGTAGAGCATTATAGTCCCGGCGTGGAAGACCCCGCGTCCTCCGCACGAATGGAGCAGGTGTAGATGCCATGCTAGTGTTTTCTGGGATCAGTATATCAAAGTGGTCTTAACAATGATGCATAACATACCTTGAGCTACTTGAATAATCAGGCAGAGCTGAGAGGGGGACTGGAGGGTGGGATGATTGTTGGCAATCTCGGTCATGTTCGCGCTTTATATGCCCTTTCTGAAGTGGAAAATCGATAGGTCACTTCTCTATTTCTGCAGCGCGCTATTCATAACATTGAGCGTAAACAGAATGTAAACAAAATGCAGCCAGGGTTATTAGAGGCTCTAGATTGTGAGGCAAACGTGTTTCTACGTGTCATTCATCGTACATAGTGCATGGACGAAATTTGAAATGGATCACAATGAAACTACGGGAATTAGTGGGTATAATCAAATAGACCAAACAAGATGATACGAAGCTGGGTCATAGATATACAGTCAACTCTCGCTTATACCACAGCATACTATCCAAGCCAAATTACGTGGTATAATTGAGTTGTGTTTTGGTGAGAGGATGACATAATATTTGACAAGCTAACTCTAAGCCCTAATACCTATTTAGTCTTCCATCCCATCATCTGATCCAAAGTCACCTGACGTTTCTCATCAATCTGAATCCTGCCAAAGTCGCTGATTAAGCTCTCAATTTGTCTAATATGGTCCGAGGTACCCTTTTCTTTGCTACAAACCCATAGTAGGATATCCTGGAGGCTGTCCAATATAGCAGAATTAGACAGAAGCTCAGGTGGGGGCCCATCAATGTCAATATCCTGAATTTCTGAGGTTGTTGGGGCAATATATATATCTTGCTCATTGGTCTCATCTCGCCCTTCAGTCCCATCTTCTAACATGTCTTCGTCCGAAGGGTTCAAAAACTCGTCAAATGGCACAATATCTTTATCACCAAGCTTATCAATTGCTTGATTATATAGACTTTCAATCTCATCACTCAATCCGGGCTCGGAAAATAGTGCAGACTCAGGTGCGGACTCGGGCGCGGACTCAGGCATAGGTATAGACTTTGGACTAATCAAAGTACTTTGTTTAAAGCAATTGATAATCGTTTGGTCTGATACACTTGTTCTCCAAACTTGCGTTACCCAGGTAACAGTATAATAAATGCTCATTCTTTGTTTTGGGTCTATCCCACGATCAAGAAAAGCAATCATATAGCGCATCCATTTCTTCCGATAATGGTGCTTCAAGTTTTGGATAATACCTTGGTCCAAGGGTTGATAAATTGAAGTTGCGTTTGCTGGCAAAAAAACAACCGTAATCCGGGGTGGTGGTGGCGCTCGCTGGAGTCCAATAACATGTGGTGAAGCATTGTCTAAAAGGAGCAAAGCTTTCTTATCTAAGGGAATACGCCCATAGAAAGATCGCAACCAGTCCTCCATAATGTCATGACGCATCCATGCTGCCTTGTTGTGACGCCAAACACATCCCAGAGCTCGGAAATTAACCCCCCGGAGTGCGCGAGGGGTTTTTGCTGTGCCAATCAACCATAAAGGGACTCGATCGGAACCATCCGCATTTGATGCAACAACAATAGTGATTCGTGTTTTATCAAGCTTTTTGCCAGCAATTTTTCCCTTTGAAAGACCACCATTTGGCATACGTCGCCAAAATAGGCCAGTTTCATCCATATTGTAGATTTCGGACGGTTTGAATTGATTGCAAATCGATTTGGTGCTTTTGATCTGATCATGTACCGAGGATGGGACTGAGGCAGCTTCTCCGTGGAAAGTATGATATTGAAGAGAGTGGCGTTGTTTGAAGCGAGTTAACCAACCCTCAGAGAATTGAGGTTTGGTCCGATCTTTGTATTCCGGTATTTGTCTCCAAAGCTCAGCTGCTTTAGTTTGGATCAAAGGGCCATTTATTGGTATTCCATTGCCAATATGGTTATCTGCCCAGTCATATAGCTTTTGGTCCAATAATGGCCAATGAGAGGATGAAGATCGTTTGTTTGCCCCTGCAGGGCCCGTATCAAGATAATTGTATTTGGATGAAAGGATCCTTGATATGGTTGACCGGTCAATCACTTGTTTGAATTGGTCCTCAAACCACTTAGCACATGCAGTCTGCGTGGGCTTTGGGCTAGTATTAGACCAAAATGCCCGTAGTGCCTGTTTCTGCGCGTCTGATATACCCAATTTGGTACGCTTTGGTCCCATTCTGACGCGCTTGGGTGGGGTCGGGAGGGTAGGAGAGCTTGTAGATTGAGGCATTCTGATTGGTTGATTGCGCTGACTAAGCAGATTTGAGAGGAAGAAAGTGTGGTAAAACAAAATGTGTTATATTCTGTCAATTTATATGGAAAAAACTGGAATGAAGGGGCCATCCAAGCAAGGGATGTGTTATTATCAAGAATGTGCAATATCCCACCGTGGTATAAGCGAGAGTTGACTGTATATAATTTCAACCGCTCTTTTCTACTGGCCCTAAAGTCTCCATGATCAGACGCTTGTGGATGAGTATGGTACCTCAAAGCAATTCACTGCAGCTTGGTAGATAAGCGGATCTTGAATTCTAGCATATATTTGGAAATGAAATTCTACGGTTCAACGCCGCCGATGAAGTGATGGCATTTTGAAATTAACCCCTAACGTATTTCGGTAATACGAGAACCGTTGTACCGGACAAAGTATTAATGCGGATAAAATTCACAATATGAATAATATGAATGCGAATATGAATAATGCGTTTATTCGCGTGAATAAAAATTCATATATTCATATTCCTGCAGTGCGAATATGAATATGCTGTATATTCGCATTCATTTATTCCTTTCGGAGCCCTACCTACCAAATAACGGAGATACGCTAGAATCGCTCCTTAATGCTGCGCAAGAAGCATGGGAAACGCTAGATATTGAGGTCTTTAAGCATCTCTCCGAGACTATGCCACAGAGGGTGGCTGATGTTATTAAGTATGAGGGCTGGCATACTAGCTATTAAATTGAATTGAATTCCTGAGGTTTCTGCCAGGCAGTATGAAAAAGTGGGTCCAGGGGCGAAGTACCGGAGGTCAAATACTTTTGTTACACCACTGTAACTTCCTTGAGGCGTAACACCGTATTATTGTCTGCGGGGGGATTGTGAAACCCACCGATCCGGACTAGACGTCCTTGTGGGTCTCCGGGAAAAGAAAACGGGTGTGTCTGGGGGTAAACTGTTTTCGAAATCCTCTGTATCCCGTACAGGCTGGCGACGACTCTCACCTCCACGTGGTGCCGGCTGGGAACCTGTGAATGCCTTGCCTGGGATGTATTCGCAGAGCTAAGAAGAGTCACCACTGGCCAGCACTGTCCGCTGGCTAGGGCTACGGCGGGAGCGAGAGCTCAGGGGTCAGGGGCCCTGCCTGACCCCACGCACAGGCGACAAGGGAACACTTTGAAAACCACCCGACACACGACTGCGAAACCGATCCTACAATCAGTGGACACTAGGGTCGTGGGATAGGACACCCTTGGGGTGCTCTCGGGCTGCTCTGTTGAAAGGAGGATATCGCTGGGTCTGAGGATACACAAACGACAGAGTCAAAAGCAAAACCACGAACGACACGGCACGACCCAGCATGCTTGAATCCACACAGAGAACGACGAGGTACTTTGGTTAGTAGGAGGGACAACACTGTGTTGCTTGGCTGTTCTGGGTACAGAGAGGATACAACTGGGCAAACTCCTGCGAGACACGGTCGGCATTGTCAGAGAGATCTTACAAGGTAGCGCGAAATGGATTTGACAATCCGTGGGGCGCAGCATATAATGGAAGCGACGGAAGACTGGGTGGGCGGACTGCAGATACGACACTTTCTATATGGCTCGAGAGGACGGACGCGCGTGTCGGTCTACTGAGAGAATAGGATTTTGAAGATGGCTATCGAGGATGGAGTCTTCAAGGCCGCTATGGAAGTAGGCTTAAGGTGCAAACTGGTATTGACTGGCGGAACTGGCTGTGCCCCGTGAAGGATGCGGATGAGGATCGAAGGGGATGCAAGGTAGAGGGTCTATGTAGGTAGACATGCTGCCACCTCTACAATGTATTATCAAGCGTGCCCAACTTAGTAATACAAATCAATACTTGGTCTTGGAAAGCACCAGGTGAAGATGGCCTACCAGCGATAGTGTGGAAGATGACGTGGCCCGTGGTCAAACACGGGGTCCTGGAGCTGTTCCAAGCGTCGCTGGATGAAGGCACATTGCCCAAGCAGTGGAGACATGCGAAGATCATACCGCTCAAAAAACCGAACAAAGAGAACTATACGATTGCGAAGGCCTGGAGGCCGATTTCACTCCTCGCGACACTGGGCAAGGTGCTGGAATCAGTCATCGCAGAAAGAATCTCACACGCGGTGGAAACCTACGGCCTACTTCCGACTAGCCACTTTGGGGCTCGTAAGCAGCGGTCAGCGGAGCAAGCTCTCTTACTTTTGCAAGAGCAAATCTACGCGGCATGGCGTGGCCGACGGGTCTTGAGCCTGATCAGCTTCGATGTCAAAGGAGCCTACAATGGGGTCTGTAAGGAGCGATTGCTCCAGAGGATGAAAGCGCGAGGTATACCGGAGGTCCTGCTTCGGTGGGTCGAAGAGTTCTGCTCGGAGCGAACGGCGACCATCCATATCAATGGGCAAGCATCTGAGGCCCAAAGCCTCCCACAGGCTGGACTGCCTCAGGGTTCTCCCCTGTCCCCGATCCTGTTCCTCTTCTTCAACGCAGATCTCGTACAGCGACAGCTCGACGGCCAGGGAGGCGCGATTGCCTTCGTGGATGACTTTACCGCGTGGGTGACCGGACCGACTGCGCAGAGTAACCGGCACGGTATTGAAACAATCGTCAATGAAGCACTCGACTGGGAAAGAAGAAGTGGAGCGACTTTTGAAGCAGAGAAAACTGCCATCATACACTTCGCCCCTAAGGCGCACAAGTTGGACTCGGAGCCATTCACTATCAAGGGAGAGACCGTTGAACCAAGAGACCATGTCAAGGTTCTTGGCGTCATAATGGACACGAGACTCAAATACAGGGAACATATCGCGAGGGCAGCGTCCAAGGGACTCGAGGCGGCGATAGAGCTTCGGCGGCTTCGGGGTCTATCCCCCGCAACAGCGCGGCAGCTATTCACATCGACCGTGGCCCCGGTGGTGGACTATGCCTCCAATGTCTGGATGCACGCATGCAAGAATAAGAACATCGGGCCGATCAACAGAGTGCAAAGGGTAGGAGCGCAAGCGATTGTCGGGACATTCCTCACAGTTGCCACCAGCGTAGCGGAAGCCGAGGCTCACATCGCCACGGTGCAACACCGGCTCTGGAGACGAGCTGCGAAGATGTGGACCGATATGCACACCCTACCGGTAACTAATCCCCTCCGCAGGAGTACTGCTCAGATCAAGAAATTCAGAAGATACCACCGTTCGCCTTTGTATCAGGTCGCCGACGCGCTGAAGACCATTGAGATGGAAACCCTGGAAACCATCAATCCATTCACACTGGCACCGTGGGAAGAACGGGTGCAGAGCGATAGTTATGATGTACCGGAGACACAGACCGAAGCGGGCGGAGCCATGCGAATCGCGGTCAGCAGTTCGGCGCGGAATGAAATGGTAGGATTTGGCGTGGCGATTGAGAAGCAGCCACCTCGGTATCGAAAACCGAGGCTGAAAACTTTATCCGTCACGCTGGGCGCAAGGACCGAGCAGAACCCATACTCCGGCGAATTGGCAGCAATGGCATACGCACTGGGCACGCTACGGGGACTGAAACGGTGCAGGGTCACGCTGCTCACGAGCAACAAAGCCGCGGCTCTCACGCTGAAGAATCCTCGACAACAATCGGGCCAGGAACACATCTGCCAAACATACAAGCTGATCAAGAGACTACGGAAGCACGAGAACCGCATCAGCATCTGTTGGGTCCCGACCAGCGAAGGTAATCAACTGCTAGGCCTAGCGAAAGAGCAGGCTCGGGCCGCGACGCAAGAGGATGCTACCCCGCAAGCGCAGGTCCCACGGATGAAGTCGACAACACTGAACATCTCACGACCCCAAGCAGTCCCCAAAAAGTGCCTGCCAGAGAATGTAGGGAAACACTCCAAACGAGTGGATGCAGCACTCCCAGGAAAACATACCCGGCAGTTGTATGATCGATTATCGTGGAAAGAAGCGAGCGCGCTGGCCCAACTCCGGACTGGCATGGCTAGACTCAACGGATATCTCCATCGAATCAATGTCGCAGAGTCAGATCAATGCGCATGTGGACAAGCCAGAGAGACCGTGGAGCACTTCCTCTTTCGATGTCAGAGGTGGACCACACACCGGACGGAAATGCTGCAATGTACCCATACTCACCGAGGCAACATATCTTTTTTCCTAGGCGGAAAATCGCCTTTGGATGACCAGAACTGGAAGCCGAATTTGGAAGCAGTGCGAGCCACAATACGGTTTGCAATCGCCACGGGCCGACTCGACACCGCTTGACCGCGTCGACCAACACAGATTAACCCTACCCCGCCTCAACCCTAATCGAACCCCCACCAACTACCTTGTGCCAGAGACGGTAGACGCGCTTCAACTGCCGAGGATAGGATGTTGAACACTTGGAGAAGCGCCTTCAAGCAAGTCTACTAACAACACTAACCCACAAGGACCCGCTAAGATATTGACATCTGAGATGACATACACTGAAAGGAATTTTGTATGGGCTCCAAGGAGGCACAGCATTGGCTAAGGCATGTACATTTAGATCAGTGATAGTTGCCCTTTCGGCTCAGCCGCCGGGCGTTAATGAATTGTGTGTGTGTGTGTGTGTATCCCGTACAGGTGACGCCACGTTACTCAACGAGGTCAGCCCCATGAACTTCTTAAGTAGTAGTCCAAAAGGCATTATATAATGCTCGCCAGGTCTTTCGCAACGGCTGTCTTCCTCTGTGACCTATACTACATCAGTTTACTTTTAATTCATTTCAGTGGTCTTTCAAATACAGAAATGAGACCTATTTACTTCGTCCCTCTTGGCCTACTGGCTCTCCCAGGATGGTGCAGGCCAGTCTCCGATCTCCATTCTGGGACCGTTGATGTGGTTCCAATCCCTCCCAACTCCCTCGCCCCTAAGGGAGTCGTACCTGGATCATCTACTATGGTCCACCATCTTCCAGGGTATGAAGTATGTCCTGATATTATGAGAAAATATGGAGTGACTCTTATTAGGAGCTCGGATGCGAATAAGCATATTCTTTTACCTCGTGGCTCAAAGAAATTGATAATTCCAGGATCTGGAATCAAATCCTGGCCGATCGGTCCAATGATGATTCAAATTATTGTCTCGTCAGCAACCGACATAGCATTCAAATTTATCAATGGCGAGGACGACGAGTACCGTTTCACCGTGTTTGATGTTTTGGGGAACGCCATCAATGCTATTGATATTGACGGCGGCAGTTGGGGGAAAATTCCCAACACCCGGAAAATGTTTGAGGCAGGAAAGGAGTATACTGTGAGATGGTTCGAGGCTTAGGGTTTGAGACTAGTCTTTCGGTTTCATTCCCTCTAACTAGTGGTATACAGTACTGTACACTGGGTCAAAAAGCTCTCACTAAAATCAAGCAGCAAAGCGACTATTTTTTGAATTGAAATAACTCAACTGGAACGACTCCGTGTGCCCAGAAATAGAATATAAAGTAGTTTCAATTAATACTTAGTATACATGTTTCTTGCTTTTTAACACTTCAGTCCTGCGTGACAGTCTCCAGGGAAATAATATTCAACGAATCAATCGAGCAGGCCACGTGGGAGCCTGTCGGTATAGTGAAGCTGGAAGCGTGAAATGAACGGATAATCGGTACGCGGATAATGGGACAATTTGTGCATTTAAAATCTGTAAAATCCCAGGAAGTACTAGTCAAAGGACTAGTGGCCTCTTCAGTAAACTGGTGATACCCTTCTAGGCTGGAAGCCACCTATCACCAAGAAACATGAACAAACTCGTAACCTGTTTACTGGGCAATAAGGAAAAACAGTTTCTTTTACAGTATGCCACAGAAATTCCATAAGGAGATCCTCACGAAGAAATACGAGCTGATCCGTTAGGGCAGCAAGCTAGTCTTGGAATAATATTTGTATAATGCCGCATGGCTGAAACCCCCAAGATGATCGTTGAAGCTTAGAGCCCCTTTCGCTTAGATTTCAAGCAAACCTCACTCTTTTGGTGAACATTGAGAGCTGTCATACGAGTAAACGAGCTGCCACTGAAGTTGCATGATACTTTGTCGCTTCTGCTATGTCTTTCACGTTCGTGACGGAGAAGATTGCTGGAAGTTGAAAAGGATCGGCCCTTACTGTCACCCTCCCAGCATACATTGGCAGTCTGACATTTTCCCTTCGATTGCCGAATAAAAGAAATATCTTCAGAGGTCAGCTGGGAACTGATCTCGGTATTGAAACTGATGCTGCCATGACCTCGGGAATTTGAAGGCTGGTGCGAAAAATGGTGTTCAAAATCGTCTCTCTGGCTTTGACACACCATAGTACTGGTTTCTGGTGGGGCGGACATGGGGATATCTGAGGGCCAAGCGCTTGAGATTGGCTGGACGAGAAGGGTTTTATTCCGAAGCCTCACCGAACTTTGAGGCTCGTAGTCAAAAGTACACATCGGTTGCGAATAGTCTGCCGATCCTCCGGTTACCGCGAAGGGTTGATGGAAGTTCGTGGATGAATGACTCCTGTGATACTGTTAGATGGAAACTGTCGGGACATATACTCCAGTCAGAACAAACAAAGACAGGTTGTACGTAATCTTGGTAAGCAACGGCTCCCGCCGTATGGATTCAGGGGTATTGGGCCTTGACCTAGGATGAACATCTATCTACATGAATCAATCAACTTTCGCTTTAGGAGCATGAACACTGTTCATTTAACTGTGTACACGGTACCTAGCTGGTGATACCAACAGTCCTAGACCGTCAAGAATGCCACTCACAGTAAGGCGCTCCCATACAGTTTGATACCCTAATCTCATCCTAGAGATGGCCAACTTTGTACCTGATTCCGCACATTTACGTTGGCAGAGACCAGATCTGCGGATTGCTACCAGGAGATTTTCCCAGGAAGAACTTTTAGATACTGCACCTGATGTTACAAGTACTGGAAGAGCGGTTTCTGTCGCATTGGCGGCGTACGAATGAGTAAGTATTTTGACTTCCAATGGCCATTTGTAAACATGCTGAACAAAGCAGGAAGCATGTTCCTCATGCTGATCTCTCCTCGAAAGTTCCAGTCACCAAAGCCCCTTTTATATATTCTAAGACCGAGGAGCTTGTTTGGAAATGGGAACAGTCAAAGCTCTGCGGTCGGAGTAACAACATCACACTCTCTTCCACCATGATTCCACAAGGCCATCCACCAAACAAAGCTGATAGCCAAGGCAAATTCGTATCCATCGAGAATGGCGTCACCCATGTCTTCCCTCAAGCACAGCTCACGAATCTGGAGCCGCATGACTATCAGATCGGTATTCTGGAGATGGCGCATTCAGCAAACTTGAAGATTATCCTTCTCAGCGCGAAGGAAAAGAAGCAAACAAAACGTTTCAGCGGAAGCCTCTTTGGCCTCCAGCATTCCCTGTTGCAGAGAGGCTCTCTTTCTTCCAATCGCTGGTCAACTGAATTCTGGGTATCCGACTCGGTCGTTGTTGATTCAAGATCCATTGAAGAGGCTAAATCGGTACCCAAGGCTGTGCGTCCAGAGAGCCCTGATGAGGCAACGTATGTCTGTGTTGGCCTTCCAGTCACAGTCTTCGGGCCATTATTCAACACGCTGGTTTCGAAATGGAACGCGAGTGCGGCTTCCTTCGAGTACTCCAACGGATTCATCTGGATATATTCCACAGTGGACCCGACAAACTTTAAGATTGACGCGGGCGAATCTTCCAGTCCAGCCAAGCAATCAATTTCTTCTATGCTGAAGCAAATGAACGGTAAATCCTGGTTTGTTAGGGCAAAGCTCATGTTCAGACTCGAAAGGTCGAGCGGGGAGAAAGCGGGTATTCTTGCCGAGCTCCTAGAAGTGTCTCATATACATGTCACCTCTTCTCATAAGCCCATCACTCACTCTTAGGGCCGACATGGATGTTGCAAGGGGTTGGAGGTAGGCAAAACCGCTGCTGTCGTCTATCCTTTGTGTTTCTTTTGTTCCTTTCGAATCAAGTAGAAGTTGCCCAATAAGGAAGTAAAGGAGCTTTTCAAATCTTTTGACAAGAACTACATTTACTGATATCTGTTTGATCTAACAATCGCGTTCACCTTAGGGTCAGAGAATTGCTTGAAATGGTCTTCAGTCAAACATTGATCGCAACACTTCTGGGAACTTCCGGAACAGGCACCAAACGCCAAGATTTAGACTAAGCGAAAACATGTCTGATGTAACTGCAATACTGCATAGCTAGAAGGGGTTATATAAGACAAATTCTGCGGTGATCGGACCAGCCTCGTCATATCGGAACTAGATTAGAATCCTATTCGGAATACAGCTCGGAGGCATGTTTGCTACAACACGACCGCCTTCCGTAGAAACAACGCTCTTTGCGTCTTCGACGAGCTCGGGTATGATTGAATTGATAGCCTGAATGACCTGGTCCATTGAAAACTTATGGTGTGAAGACCCCACGGGCGGAGGGTCACAACAGTTTCCACGGTCGCCGTCGCTGGCCACGGCTGCCTCCCTGGTCCTCCTAACAATGACAGTCGCTGCCTAATAAAACAAGCGACCATGCGACATCTGAAAATGCATTCCAACACGTTGACTGGGTTCAACCGTTGAAAACATGGGACAATTTAAAACCGCATTATATTGCAGGCACACGATAAGCGCAGAATTGGGGTTCAACGTTGAACATAAACTTCACGAGACGCACCTTTTGCGATAGAGATATGGTTTCTTTTATGCTGCGGGTGATTTTTTCACTGGTCTCGATGATGATCATTTGCAATCATCAACCGGTCGTCTCAGCCCAAGGAGCCGTAAAAAAGGGCCTTCCCATCTTGCTCACCAGCAGTGATGACCAGCGAGCGCATCAACATCCCAAGCTGCTTTTGACCGCTCAAACAAAGCTCTGGTCAGCGTTGTTCAGACAACGTATGGAAAATACGATATAAACCTGCTGATGTCCAGTATCGTCTCGCCTAAAAGCATGTCCCGCCCTGTGTCAAAGTTTGCCGAATGGCTTGCCAGGGCTCCAGTCCAAGACAAGTTTGGTCTTTGTGGGCTCCTCGCTCTTGTATGCTGGATATCTTATAGCCGCGCACGCCGATTCAGCCATTTGCCTTTGAGGTTGCAACACGCAGTATCTTGGAGACGCTTCTTCCAGGCGCCAACGCCAGGCGTGCTCCAGTGGCTGGATATCGCATCATACTTGCAAGGGGGAGTACTTGCAGCCCTGGTGATTGCCAACATTATTGCAATCAGTCTTCATGCTCAGACCTGGG